AATCAAATTTTATATAGTAAAATTTAAGAAATAATAATTAAAAAAAGTTATTATTAGTAAAAATTTTTTTTATAAAATATATATAATAAAAAATTTTTATATTTAAATAAATTCCAATACCTAATAACTTAATTAAATAAAACAGAATTAAAAATTTAGTTTAAAAAAATAATATATTAATATTTATCTGATATATTAAAATTTTCATAATAAATCATATAAATGAAATAATTTAATAACTCAAATAACTTCCAAATATTCAAGTCCAGTTAGTAAATACTTGTTTTCTGTTGATAATATATGATGACTGATATATATTATTAAAGCTGCTTCTAATTTGATTTTTGAGACTTCCAAAATAAGCTTTTCCCTTTGATCCCTGAAAATCGTGCTTTTAACAAAATCAACAATGATACATATAATTTCTAGGCTATGTAGATACTTATCGATCAATTATCTGGGTTATGATATTACCCCGGATACTTGAACAAATTTGAGAAATATCAGTGATTTTTATTGTAATTAATAATATGATCTGCTGCACTCTTAATACGCTTATATAATAAATCATACATGTAACGTACTCAACAATACTATCAAGCCACATGCACACAAATGCGCCAAAAATGTAGTAGAGGGAAGGGAAAAAATAATAGGGAGCGAGTGCATTGTGTGGTTAATTTGTTAATATTGTTGCTGTGTGATTATATTCACTAGGTTGATGTATATACTATCTATCGATCAACAAAAAGGAAGAGATAAGAGAGGGATTGGTTACAGTTATCTATTGTCTTTCGATATTGAAGTATGAAGAGATGATAATTGCAATGATGATGGGTTAAATAGTGAAATCATATAAGACATTGCATTCACGTAGTGCTTGCAAAGATAAATAATGGACAATCAAGTCCTTTTTTTGTCTCAATGACAATGTAAAGAAAGAATAAGAGAGGGTGAAAATAGAGAGAATTAATTAAAATAATACAAAAAAGAAATATATAATCCTTTTTACTATATGTGACCAAATGTCCGACCTATGTTATGTAATACATTAATAATAAAAATACTAGTAATATTATATTAGACAGCTTGTATTATGGGAATCGAAAAGAAATCGAGTCTGGTTAATGTTCAGACCTTGTAGAAGTCCGTTTAAGCTCTCATTCAAACATGGTTTTGATTTTGATTAATTGGAAGTGTTGTAAGAGATCACGCAATAGACGTCGCGATTTGAATATAGTATACATAGATATATATATATTATATCCATATTTTTTACGAAGATTAACGGCTGGAGATTTTTGATATTGCGAATACTCCAACAATAGCAGCTGCTAATGTTACAACAGCTGCTGGTAATAGCCAGTCATTTAATGAATTATTATTTCCAATAATATCACGATCCAAATGTTTACTTCGTCTTTTTCTCCTTTTTATATCCGAAGCTGCATCCTCCTCTTCTTGTGATACACGAGAAGCTCTAGATTTCGAAGATGGTTTCTTTTCATCAATTTCCTGTACATGTAAAAGCACACGCGAAAGTCCTTGTCGTTGTGCAATTCGTACAGCGTCAATTACATCATCATCACTTGACATTAATACTTGATCGTTGTCGTCATCCACGTATGCTAATGAGAATGCTTTTATGGTTTTCGGGAGTTGAGAGGCAACACGACGTCTAATCATATCGAGGTTTGTATAATCCATTGTGAATCGATGCGTTTTCCCATTTGGAGATTTGAATTTAAATGTGAACATATTTTCATCATGGCCACGAGGAAAAGATGCTAATGAACCATTATCATCGATTGCTGATGCTGATTCACTAGGATGTATTTCGGGGACTGGTGAAATGTGTCCAGAACCTCGCATATGTGAATTCGGCGAGGGCGGAGGAACATTTGAAGCACTTTGTGATGGTGATATTGAATCAGAAACTATGGATTCATTGTCACAATCGTTGGCAAATGAATTCCAGAAGCGACCCCACATGGGGCCACCCCCAGATTCATGATTATCGTGACCTTGGGTTGAATTCATCTAATAAGGGCAGAGAAATATAATCAATTTATGTATGCTTAATAATAGTACTAGTCAGTTAATGAATTCAAGATGTCTTACCTGTTCCATGGTTGCATATGTAAGCCTCAATACATCAACCATCCCTAAAATATGGCCATTATCAACGACCGGGAGATTTAGGTAATGACCATCTATTCATGATTTAAGAACATAGACAAAAAAAATCAGTGATGAATAAGCGAAAAATAAATGCAAGAATGACTTGATTGAAGCTTTTGAACCGTTTTTAAATGTTGATTCAAAATCAGTTCAAGAAGTAAAATGGATTATTATTCAATCTCGATAGTTTCAGAATCTCCTTTATTCTACTCCGTCTGGATATCAAGTATTGTAATGATGATAATAATACAACCTTGACATTGAATCAGGAGAGAATGATCGATTATGAATGAAATGTAAAACTATATAATATTTACCATACATCTTCTTCAAAGCATCAAGAATACTAGTATGTGAAGGTGCAGTATCTGGGTGAGGTGTCATGACTTTGGATACACTACATGTCGCAGGATCAAGGCCAGCAGCAATTACTCTAAGTACAATGTCCTTGCTCGTAAAGATACCGGCAATCATACCGTGTTCCATAACGAGAACAGCGGTGGTACGATATTGTCGCATTAAACGAGCAGCATCACGAACCGTTGTACGAACATTAACTTCTACATGTCGAGAACGTTCATCCAATAGCGTATCTAAAGTGGGACATGACATTTTATCGCGTAATATATCGAGATACTGCACAAGGTGTGTGGGTTGATTGGCCCAATCTTTTTCGACACCTTCTAATGCATCATATAATTTCTTTGATGAGCCGTAAGCACGTTCCATTTTATCGAGTGCATCATATAAGCATTTGGTGATATCAAGTAGACCAACAACATCACCATCTTCGTTACAAATGGGCTATAATAAGAAATAAAAATATCCATAAGAAACTATTAAAAAAATTTAAAATATTAAGATGACAAATAATGACTCACAAGATGCCTAAAACCACGATCAACCATTGTTTCGAGGGCAAAAGTAGCTGAAGTATCAAGTTTGACACATTTAGGTTCATGAGTCATGATCTTAGCAACTGTGGTATTTCTAGCGTCTAGACCTTCACCCACAACACGAAATGCCAAATCTTTTGCCGTGAAAATTCCCGATAAATGTTCTTCACGATCAATAACTAATACACAATCAGCACGTTTTGCCGCCATGAACTGTGCTGCTTCCTCTACTAAGAAAGTCTCCCGAACAGTCAGTGCTTGGGTTGGTCGTAAAGAAGCCACAGTTCCATCTGGTTTTGGGTTTTGTGAATTTTGTCGTTGCTTTTTTGCACCACTATTAGCACGATTTTTCTTTTTTTTACTGGCCTATTTTATTATTAAAGTTATAATGCAAAACGTGCTCAATATATAGTCCATTTGAATGGTGAACAAACATGAAGGACTTGAGATAATGTCAGACGAAAAGAAAATACCTCATCCTTCTTTTTTGTATGTTTCTTACGTGTTGTTGTATCACTCACAATTGAACCAACTTCCGAAGAGCTATCACGACTTTGTGCGGGGGTTGGAAACCCGCTACCTGGAGGTGACGATTTTCTCGTTCGATAAGTTGCAGCAGACATTCTACCAGAGAAAAAAATAAATGTAGGAAAAAAAAAATTACAAGAATAAAAAACAATACAAAGGGTTAGGTCAGTATCTGCATATTTGTATGACTTTTTTTTCTCTTTTTTCTTCGACACTATGGGTAGTGCATAACCCTCTTTTTGAACAGTGATGAGTCATTTATGCACTGATTGGTCCGGCATTTCGGACACAAAATCTATGATAATGATTAAACTTCCCGAAAATCAAAATCTTAGATTTTCTATTTCATCATCACTCACATTTTCTTTTTAGTAATTTTCTTGACTGGAGCCGGACTTCCCATTGATAACAGGTAGAAAGGTAACGGTAATGATAAAAGGTGGAATCAAATGAAATAATCGATTGAAAAGTGGTGGATAAAAGTTTGGATAATTAATTGAAAAGTGGTGGATAAAAGTTTGGATAATTATATATGCCCATGTCTTCTATTTATTTATTTAGTCATAATTTATCATGACTATAATTACAATTTATAATAATAATAATAATAATAATAAGGAAAAATTGGCGCATTTTTTCTTATGGCGTGCAGTTTATCGTCATATTCGGGAGTTTCAGGGTAGAGTTAGATGCCACGTGTTGCAGATTTCGATTGTCGTTATTTGTTAAATTAACACTAAATCATATGAAATAAACATACTTTAGGATGGACAGCAGTAACAGCAACAATAATAATAATGATAATGATATTGAAAAAATTTTCTTAAAGAACCTATTGGAATACTTGGTAAAACTGAAAAAATACGGACAACCTGATGAAATTGTACTTGAACAACTGAAAAAATACATTAGAGAGCAGAATAATTTAGACGAGATAACCGTCTTCGATTTAGCACTCAATTACACACAACAAGACAACTGTCCACCTGAATACTCTTATCTACTTGGATATCTTTACAACTATGCTATTGGCACATCTACCGATGAGAAACTTGCATTCAACTTATATGAGAAATCGGCGTTAGCCGGTATACCATACGGTCAAGCACGTCTTGGGTATTGTTACTACAAACGTATCGGGACAAGGTTAAATCACGGAAAAGCATTCTACTGGTACAAACTAGCTGCTGAGCAAAATAACTTAGCCGCACAATGCTTTCTTGGATTGTACTACGGAAACGGCTATGGCACCAAAAAAGATCTCAAAAAAGCAGTCTATTGGTATACGAGAGCTGCCGAAGCTGGACAACCGGATGCACAACGCTCCCTCGCAAGACGATACATGTACGGTAGTTGGGTGAAAAGAGACATGCGGCGTGCATTTCTCTGGTTCAGAATTTCCTTTGCTACAAGTCAACGAGGTAATGCGAACATTGAATATGCGAAGTATTTCAAAGATGGTTTGGGCACAATGAAGGATGTACATGAGTGTTTAAGATTGTATCGGCGCGCGCTTTTGACTAATGAGAAAATACTTGCTATGGATTGTTGTAATCAGCTTTTTAACCTTAATAATAGATCATTCTATTTTTACTGAATCTCTTAATAATTTGAATGAAAATTCAATTAATTACATACCGTGGCGTAATTTTTGGGTGGATTTGATTTCACAATTTAACTCCAACTGGAATTCCCAAAATTGGGGTTCCTAAAAACAAGAGCCGGTTTAGCCACATACCCGCCACGCATTTGATCTGTACCACGTGATTTTAAAATAACCAAATTTCCTAATATGAGTTTTACCCCTGGTATAAGCCACAATCTCATGAGATTTTTAAGGGGCAAACCAATCAAATTGAAAGATTTCGACTTACTATGTGATCCTTCAACCGAAATGCTATTAATATTTGGGTGATATGCTTTTAGGCAATATCCAAAAATCACCGTACGATAAATCTTTTGCCAATTTACATCATACGGTGACTTTCGGATGCGATTTTTCGACATCTAGCGATCAAAATGGCATCAAAATACCACTATTCAATTCGTCTAGTCATGGCGAATCGAATGGTGGTATTTGGGTGTAATTCTGATCACAGGGTATCGAAATATCGCGCCCGAAAGTTATCGTACGATAAATCGTTCTCGATATCCCCGAAAATTTATCGTACGGTGACTTTCGGGCGCGATATTTCGATACCCTGTGATCAGAATTGCACCCAAATACCACCATTCGATTCGCCATGACTAGACGAATTGAATAGTAGTATTTTAATGCTATTTTGATCGTCCGAAAGTCACCGTATGATGTAAATTGGCAAAAGATTTATCGTACGGTGATTTTTGGATATTATATCTCGACACCTAAAAGCATGTCACCTAAATATTAATAGCATTTCGGTTGAAGGACCACATGGTAAGTCCATAATGAAATTTCGTAAAGAATATTTTAAGTTAAAAATCTAGTTAAAACATATATATTTCTGCGCTTACGTTATTTGTAAATAAAACAAACTGTTCTAGATAAATATAGTTAATAGTATCATTTTTTTAATATTAAAACACAGTGCCACTGTATGCTTATTTAGCTTTTTTTGTTTTGTAGAAATTTTTTAAAACGAAAATGTGGGGTTTTTTCAATGCTTCTGGGGGTGTCTTTACATAAGCAATCAGATTGGATCTAGCTATTAAATTGTCATTCATCGAATCAGTTCGTCATGTAATGCGAAATAGAGACAAAAAAAACATGCTGAAGCGAATTTTACTAGTTTCATATGCCCTTCACAACTGAAAATTTACTTTTAATTTTGTGCAATGCATATATGAAAATTCCTTGATCCATAAAAGTAATCGTATCATGACTCAAGACGAATTATTAGTAAAGTAAGAAAAACTGCGTCAACGTAGCGTTTTTTTATTTCTAATTCAAAAGAATAAACAGATCGCGGATAAACTGCAAAAAGTATCCCGCATCAATTGTTTACGTTTTAAGCAATTTCATCGTATCGGTATTTGTGCGACAGCATTAAATTAGAAATTATTTTGACAAATCAAAATAACCATATTAAGAACATTGAAGTTTTCAATAATCTGTATAGAACTAGGTAAATCAATAGGAACCAATAGAACCAACTATATTGGCAACTGACATACAAAGGACTCAACTCTCAATTGTAAGAATAATTGGTAACTGATATAATTGAAGCTCGAACTAAAAATGATCGTTATTTAACACAAGTTATTCATATAAAGCGATAGTAATCGCATATTATTGGTTTTTGCGTAGTGTGCAGTCGAAATAAGCAAAAACTAAAAATAAAATAAAGTACCGGGTTTTTTTTAACGTTTATAATTGTGTTGTCAAAATCACGAGAATGAACTATGAAAAACCACTGTGTGATGTTTATTATCAGTTTTGAATGAAAGATCGTATCGATATGTATTTAATGTATTTCGTATAACGATGTCGGAACCCCCTGATGAAGGTTAGGACACGAAACAATGGTTTTTTTTTTAGTAATAGCAGTAATTTTTTAAACCTTTTGTATTTATATCACATGTGTGTATAATTTTAGTATAAAAAGGAACGAACAATGATTCTGTTTCTTTAGACCATCCCACCCACTTGGTTGATTAAAATAAATACTATTAAATATCCTAGAATATTATACGGGTGGATCATTTTAGGTCTCGGACATTATAGATATTTCCTATTATATTATTATATGGATGGATCATTTTTAGTCTGATTATTATAATATTAAATTTTTTCGCGTAGAAATCTTCTCAAATAGAAATTTTTTATATAAATTATAAAATAAATAATTGAATAATCATAAAACAATCTAATAGAATATCAAAATGCTACACATTTTGAACTCGCAATCAGAAAGATTTTCATTATTACACGTTATCTATGCATCACATTCAGACTTTCAATTCCCAACACCTCCCTTTGACAAATTCAGAATTCTATTCTCCTGGTTCTCACTAAACCTTACAACTAATAACTTTACAATCACACAATACATCATTTTAACAGTATATACTCTAACAGTGTTATTAGTCGCTGGTTTCGTTTATATCGCGTTCTATCCTCGGCCACACAAATGTGAATGGGTTAGATCAATAATTTTGGTGGTAGGGACAGGAATAATGGAATTTCCACTATACATTGGTTTTGTAAAATTATGTGCCATGGCGTGGGTGGTAAATGCATTAGGTGAGTTATTAATGACGTGAATTCGAAATAATTGATTAACCGCTAACAACTATATTCAAAACTACGCATGCGCTAGAATTACGATTTACGAATAATCCAGTATTATGGGTCGATCTATCTACAATGTTGGCACTTTTTTACGCGTTCTATCTCGCGTATAAATCAAGAGAAATCGTGCATAAGGAAACACGTGAGTTTGAGATTCATGGGCCAAAACTGGCAAGCATTTTTAGGTAAGTTGAGCGATTTTCGATCAATACAAAATGCCGATCTTCTGACGCCATATCACGTCAATCGATTCAATAGGCCGTATTTTTGGTACCGGATGATGGTACCGTTTTATATCCCTTTTAATGTGACGGTTGATCGCGACGGTAAGTAAAAAAAAAAGCTCGACATTAACAACCTTCAATTCTAAGCTTATAGCAATTTTATATGTTTATTCAGTTGTATATGCGACACCTCAAGAAATTAAAGAATTGGGTGTAGATCAGACGAAATTTTTTAAGCTTGATATCTACAAAGAAAAAACCACGAAAAACATTGATAAAAGACCAGTTTTGATATTTATTCATGGAGGTGAGTGAAAGATGTTCAGATCTGTCTCCTTTCACTTTACTTGTCCTTTAAAACATCCAAATCCAATGAATAAAAAGGAAGTTGGATACAAGGTGATAAACGAGTACCATATCCTCAACCATCATTCATGGCATCACACGGATGGATAGTATTATCGATCAATTACCGACTATTCAACTATCCGAATCAATTAATCGATTGTAAGCGCGCGATACGATGGACAAAAGAAAACGTTTCACATTACGGCGGAGACAAAGATTTTATATACATTTCGGGTGATTCAGCTGGTGCTCATTTAGCAACCATGGCTGCACTTACCCCCAACAACCCAAAATATCAACCAGGGTTTGAAAATGCCTCGACAAGTGTTCGCGCATGCGTATCGATTAATGGGATCTACGATTTAACGAATATGCATGATTATTTTCCGGGCCGGGATATCATTCCAGATTGGATTGCACAAGTCGTGTGTGGATTAAAAAATGGAATTGCCGATGTGGCGTCTAGAAGAGTTCTTGAGGATGGTAGTCCCGAGTTATTGTTGAAACATCGTGTAGAAAATAATCTTGAAGTTGTACCTTTTTTGGTATTTCAGTAAGTGTTACATTTATGTGTGTATAGATTTTTTTTATTTTTACTAATATTTACTTTTAACCTCGAATTTAGTGGTGATCGTGATAATCTCATACCTGTAATTCACACTCGGCAATTCATCAAATTATTTAAAATGACTAATTCGAAGTCCGTCTACATTGAATATCCGGTAAATATTTTTTTTTGCATTTTCTTTTGATAGATCGTAGCTTCTTTGATTGACATATGTGATATATATATATATGTAGGGTGGACCTCACGGATATCATCTCACTCATGCACCTAGATGTCATTATCATATGATTGCAATGCTTAGATTTCTTAATTGGATGTACGATACACATAAAAAAAAACACGAGAAAAATGTTACTTTTGAAATTTAGTAAAAGAAGTAAAAATATTAATTCATCTTTTGGAACACCAAAAATTAATTAAATAGTAAATTAATAATTAGCGATCTATGATACTATTTTTTTGAATTTAAAGCACTCGATTTCTCAACAAATAATTTTTCTGCATCAATCCATACTCTAGCCGCTTTACGATTAGGTAATTCCAATAAACTTGGTAACAGATCATTACAGAATGCTTCACTACTTTCACGTGGAAGTAATGTTGGTAAATGGTCAATTGAGATAACCTCAAGAGGACGTTCGTTTCTAGAGGAATCGAAATCCATTATTAATTAAATCATGTAATAATAAGTGTGAGAAACAAAAAATTCAAAACAAATCAAATCAAAACATATCCTTTTTTCCGTACTTTGTTTTCACCGGAACGGTCGGTTTATCAAAAGTAGTATTAATAGTATAAATTGGAATAGGATTGTGGGGATTCGTGGTATCACAACTAACATCCACAATAACCGATAATTTACGGTCACCATCCAACATATCTTTAGTGATGAAGGGGGGAATGGGTTGATTTAAGTAGATGCAATTAATGAAAATGTCCGCTTCTAGAATTTCTGGGAATGGACCTCCTTTTTTGGTTTCCGCAATATCCCATTTGATTATATGATTCCTACATTAAAAAATAAATTGATTAATCGGAAAGATTACCCATATCATTGAGCTTTCAATTAACTTACTCCGGTATTCCAACCTTTAATGCAAAATCAACAGCACCTTTCCCACATCTTCCAAGTGCGCCTATGATCATTATTCGTGGATATTGACCTCCTTTACGCGCAGCTTCTACGCGACTTTTTACATGTTCGATCAATTTATTCTCATTAGGATATGGATCGATGGAAGGATACTCTATAGAAGGATTAAGATTCTGTTGCGCCCATACATCAATACCAATTGCTGCTCCTGCGAATCCCGCGTTATAGCCGAACGCTGCTACTCTACGACCTTTAGTGATTGTTAAACGAATTAGGACAAATAAAGAGAAAATAAAAAATCAAATAATATTTTCTCCAATACCTTTTTCATCCGTCAGGTATTCCAAGTCAAGTAAAACGCCCTTGCCACGCGCGAAACGGCCCAGTATATCTTGCCAACCAGCTTGATTTTTGTAACAATGCGCGAAAAATATATGGGTGTGGGTTAATGGTGAATCGTCGTTTTCCGGAAGTTCTTTAAGCCCAACAATATAGGCATCAGTTGGTGCTTCCGTCTTCCACGCGCCGGAAGGAACCATGTTACATCCATTCCTGTAATCCATATGTACATAAAAGTACATCATATAGTGAACCAAAACAAAATTTGTTTTAAATCGAAAATACTACCCTTCGTATTCGGCATCATCGAAAATACGTTGTGTTGATCTCTCCACGGTAATTTTGAACCCTTTTAAATCAAAACAAATGGTATTTAAGATTGCGTAGATTTTCACTAAGCGAGATTCATATTAAATTAAAGTTATGCCTTTATCAATTAAGGTCTTGCAAGCAACAGGCGTCAATGTCGCGCGATGTTCCTTTGATTTTGTCTCTGCGCGAAGCCATAGGTGAGTAGCCATGCTTGTTAATTTATTTGTTTAAACAAAGAGAAAACTGAATTCACCAAGTATATTTATGAATTCAAAAGAAAGATGCCTAATGAAAATTCAGAGGATATTTTATATCAAACTGTAAATGATGTCCGTTTTAAGAAATCCGCGTTTTTTTTGATTGATTGATTCATGTGACAGATTTAAAATGAAATCTATTAATCGTTATACCCCACATTTCATTTTATATGGCGTAATATATAATTCAATAATAAATAAAGCGATACTTTTCTAAAATAAAATTTTTTTTAGAAAAAAAGATTTTTTAAATATTATCGCTATCAATTTGTTCTAAATTTCATAAAAATTGAATCAATAGTTATAAAGAAATTAAGGTTCAAAGTTTAGTAATTAAATTATTTACTATATAATTTTTATATAGTAAAATTTAAGAAATAATAATTCAAAAAAGTTATTATTAGTAAAAATTTTTTTATAAAAGATATAATAAAATTTTTACATTTAAATAAATCCTAACATCTAATAACTTAATTAAATGAGAATTTTATTTTGAAAAAATAATCTATTAATATTTATCTAAGGTATAAATCTTTTTAATAAAAATTGTGATGAAGATAATAGCAATGATAAATTTAAAATTAATATAATATAATCTTTTTTTTTAAATTAGAATCTTCTTTATTTTTAGATCTTGTATATGAGAAATTAAAAAATTATAGTTATATCTTTCTAAGTGCAATCCTCTTGAGATCATAATAAAAAAAAATAAAAAGTATATATTTAGAGAGAGTGTGCATTTATAGAGATCAAAAATATTAGAGCTCTTATAAGCTGAAATCAGAATATATCATGCATTTAGAGAGAGATTATATAGTATATATACTTAGAAAATATATACTTAGAGAAATGTAACTGTATATAAGATTTTAAGAATTATCAATATAGTTATTGAATTTGTATAAGTATTAATTATCTTACTATTATTATATTTACTATTAAAATATGAGTTAATAATTAGATATTATATTTTAAATATATTAATATTTTAAATAATTAAATTAATAAATTTTATTATTTAAATAGTTAATATAATTATACAAATTTTAATTAATATTATAAATTAAATTTAATAATAAAAATTTTATACTAATTTTAAAAAGTAATAATAGTAAAAAAATTATTAATTAATATAATTAGAAAGATTCTGAATTTTATAAATTAATTCTAGAATAATTTATAATTATACTCAAAATATGATTAATATTTGATAGTATTAATATAAAGAATTTGATAATATTTTATTAATTGAATATATCAAATAAAAATTAAAAGTAATGATAAAAATATATTTTTATAAATATATAATTTCAGAATTCATGAGAATTCACTTAATTTTACAAAGTAATTTCCTATTAAATTGAGTTTAAAAATTATATCTCACTTTATAATAAACATTAAAAACTTATTCTATTTGTTTAAGTTTCTTATTAATAAATATGACAAAAGTTAGTTGGTAAAATATGAGACTAAAAAGAATTAAAAATAATAATATATTAACTAGTTCTGCTACAGAAAGAATAACAGAAATAATCAAATATTTTTCTAAATTAACTATATTACTTAATTCTCTAGATAATTACTCTTTATGTAAAAGATATTACAATCATATTATTATTAAAAATTCTTTTATTAAATAGATTACTAAAATAAATAATTTAACTCTTTTAGATTCAGAAGAAATAAGAAGAAAAAGATCAAGATTCTCTAATAATAATAAGTTACTAAACTTTGAAAAAACTTTTTTCTGATTTTAAAATTCAAATATTCTTGTTAAATTCAGTATATAAAGTACTTTTAAAAAGAATATATAAGCTAAAAAAGCTCAATTAGTAATTATTATCTGAGAATTTAACATTAAAAAAATATTTTAATGAAATATTTATCAAACAAGAAAATTATATTAGATCTATAATAGAAATTACTAAAAAAGAACAAGATAATTTATATAATAATATTATAAGTTTAATACAAAATCATAAATAATTTAGTTTAGATAATCTATTAGAGTATTCTTTTTTAAAATAACTTATAAAATAAAATATTATTATTATAAGATTTATTAAACTATTATTTATAATAAAGATAAATATTAATAAAAAGAGAAAAAACTTTTTAAATATATTATAGTAATTAATACTATATATAAATCAAGATATTTAAAATATATTTTTATTATTAATTTAGTTATTTTAGTAATTAAATATTCATTAGCAAGATCAAGAATAATTATTTATATTAATAATTATATTATAAATTCTAGTAACTATAAAAAGTTTACTAACTAATTAGAAGATTTAGCTATAAAATAATTATAATTTTTCAAAAACTTTTTATTTTTAGCTTTTGATAATGAATAAAAAAGTCAAAAAAATCATTTAAATTATAAATATAATATGACTATATTTCATATTATTACAAGTTATATTACTTTTAATTATAATTAAAATAGTAATATTTAGAATACAGATTCTTGATTATATTTAGAAATTTCTGAAAAGTAATATAAAAAATTATTTTCTTTAACTTTAGATATAAAAAATAAAATTTATAGAGAACTTGCTAATTATCTCACTATTATTTTAGAAAAATTCTATACTGAGAAAAATTAAAAAATAAATATGATTAATAAATCAGTATATTATTAAAGTTATATTAAATTTGTAAAAAAATATTTGACTTGTTAATTATTTAATATTGATAATAAAAAGCAAATCTGTCTTATATATCATAGTAAATTATTAATAATTACTAAGATAAATTAATTGAATAAGTTAGTTAACATAACAAATTCTATCAAAAATTTTTTAGTTATTATTATCTATTCTTATATATTTGAATCAAATTTGAAAAGTAAGATTTATATATTATAATTATATATTCTTAATCTAATAGAAATAAATTTAAATTTAACTTTTAATATTTAAAAAATTTTTAAATATATTGAAGAACTATTTAAAATTAAAAATAATAATTATAAATAAATTAAAAGATATTATCTCAATTAATTATAACTTATAATAACTAATTAGAAAATTATAATTAATTATGATAGCCAATTAGAGAATTGTGACTAAGTTATAATATCATCTTTAATTATTATATATAAATAATCAAAAAAAACTTTTTTTAATTTATATTAATTTCAGATACTCTTTATAAAGAGATAAATATATTAAAAGTATTTATAAAATTGAATTAAAATATTAATATAAAAGATTTTACTTAATGTTAGAAATATTAAAATAAAAATTAATTATATTTTTTTAAAAAGTATTCTAATTATTATAAGATATAAGATTTAATATATAATATTATATAGATATATAATAATTTTTGAATTAATATAATCATATATTATTTCTAAAAAAAATTATTTTATTAAAAATTATTTAGAATAGATATAAAATTAGATTAATCTTATGTTTAAATTAAAATATAAATAAGATTTTTTTATTTGCAAGTAATTATTAACTTTTATATTAGAATTTATTTTAATAGATCTTTATTAAGACTTATAGCTAGATAAGTATTTATACTGATTTGATTTATTAAATAATATTTTATTTATTAATTAATTAAAATTACTAATAAAAAATAAAGATTATAATTAAAATCTGAAATTTATAAATTAATTTAAGAGAGAATTATAATTTTATTAAATCAATATTAAAATTATAATATAATACTTGAATAAATTAATAAAAAATTCAAATTATTAATTTCTTTTATATTTTTACAGTAATATTAGAAAATTATAATATGTAATTATATTAAATTTATAAAATTATATACTAATATTTTTAATATAATAGAATATTTTGAAAGTAAAATATATAAATCTCATATATATTCTAGCTTTATTATTAAATTAAATCAATTTTAAATTTGAATTAGAAAAATATAATTTGTAAATTCAAATATCTCTAATTATATTTTTCATAATATAAGTAATAAATAGATGCTAAATAAAAAAATAAAAAGTTTTAGTAAAATTATACAGAAAAAAAGAATTAATTTTATTAAAGTAAGATTTATTAAAATATTATTAGATACTTGATAAATAATATTTATAATAAGTAAAGAAATAAATTATTAAAAAACTGAAAATTTATTAATAAAATCTTAACTCTTATTTATTATTAACTTTTTAATATCTCTTTTAGATAATTGAAAATAATTATATTTTTGTGATTTATCAAATAAATTTTATTATAAATTAATAAATAATCTTTAAGAAATTAAAAATCTATTATTCAAAAATATTATTAATATTAATAAAGAGAAATAATAAATTATTATCAAACTAGTAAACTTTTTTTATAATTAAATTCCAGAAATTTCTAAATATTTTTTACTATAGTGGCTATCATCTATAAACTGCATAGTCCAAAATTTCAGATGTAGATTATCACGTGATTTTTATAATAAATCACATGTTCATATATTTTTTATTATGATAAATATATAGTATACAGTATACCATCTCATAATTTTATTTTATTCAATTCTGACAATACATACTCAGGAATACAATGGTAAGACTTATACTTTTTGGCAGCATATTCTGCCAACTTACCAGTGATTCTCTTCCTATACAAATCTATATAGTGCCATGCTTTCCTAGTGAATCTTATTATAATTGTATCAATAGATTCCAAGACTGCAGGAATGACACATTGCAAGCCTGATCAAGAATAGTTACAGTTCTCTTGAGCATACCTTTTTGTCACATTCCAGTATTGCTTGATATAATTCAGTTCGCAGTGGAACTTTGAGTAAAAAATACATTTATATTCAACTTCTAGTATAGCTTCTTCTAACATGCTTTTTTGTGATAAAAAATCTAGTTGTAATGAAACAATTCACCATGCATAACAGTTCATCCAATTTATATCATCAACCTTATCCTTGCATAACTTACAGTCAGCACTTAAT